ACAGAGCAAGTGGCCCGAAAGAATCGCCGGTTTCCTATCTCTTTATGTGCTATCGATATTTATTTATCGATCGTCCAAACACAACGATTAATCTTCGTCTGTCTTTTTCCCTAATGGCTTAATTGAAAAACAACTTTGGTGAAAAATTGTTATCGTATAAATTATAGGTTTATAGATATAGCGATTTAAACATAAATGACACACACTACTTTTATAGCAAGTGGCCCGAAAGAGTTTCACAAGTCTCCTAATTCTCTGCTAATTTTCTGCGAATCGTTCTCGAGAATTGACGTTCGTTCAAATCGGCAATCAACTGTGATCGCACATTTATCGCACACTTTCTCAACTTCATTGAAAGATTAGAAACAAATCATTAAAAGATCTGATCGACCGGTGCATGCGAGATATAATCTTTCTTTTTTCAAATATAAATTTTGATGGCGTGTAGTTAATTCGAAACGAGCAATTCAATACTTAGCCGAAAGTAAATAATTCTTCTGAAAGTTATGTTTAGAAGAATGTGTCGAAAATCTCGACGAAACGTATAAATAAAAAAAAAACCTACATTTTGTAAAAATATGAAAAGCCGAAATATTCAAAAACGTTCGAAGTATGAAAATAAACCAGAAATCGCAGAGCCGATGATATCAGCTCTTGGATACTAAAAGAATCAAGCTTTTGACCGGCAATGTATAGATGTGTTTCGAAAATAGATGCACTTGTGCCATTTTTTTTCACTGAGCTCTTCAAATAATATTTTTCTTTTTTTTTTTTTTTTTGCATTCATTCTATCGTATAAAACTGACACAAAGGACGGATAAATATTAATCCTAAAGCATAATCGTTCGACAAAAGCGCGCTACGCTATTTTCTTTGCAGAATTTTATGTTGTTCCTCGACTCGTTCGACGGGTCCATTTAACAAAAAAAGCATTTAAAAGAGAGAGAAAGAGAGAGAGAGAGAGAGAGAGAGAGAGAGAGAGAGAGAGAGGATTCTCCCCTTTGCTCTTTCCATTCAACCTGTCGAGAGCCTCTTATTAAGAAATATGCAAACGAAATCCTCAAGCACAGACACTGAGACACTCTTATACGAAAACTACCGATTCTCATAAAAGTCGTCGCAGTAAATTAATTTGTCGTGCAAATTATATGGCGGATCTACTTTGAAAAGAAGATTTAAGAAAACAGAAAAAGAAGAAAGAAGAAGGAGAACTGCACGTGTCTTTCTTATTTGAAAATTGTAACGACTTCGTTCGGTAGACGAGAAACGAGAAAAAAGAGAGAGGAAGAAATGCGAACTCGAGTTCCCTCCGAGTGATCCAGAGTGACAGAAATCGGTTTGGAAACTTCGATGTTTAAGAATGTGTCTGGGTTTAAGCATTTCGAGCTCGACACATTCGTCAACGGCGGCTGCACTGAAATACCAAAACTTTGAGAGACTGCAAGTTCTCTGCGAGTTCGGATAAATTTTCAATTTTCCAAAAAAAGAAAAAAAAAGAAAGAAAGAAAGAAAGAAAAATTCGTCATTTAACGACTAAGGGTGAGAACCATTTCTTTAGCTAGAAAATTTCGTTCAGAAATTTCGCGAGAACGTGTGAATAAAATTTTCAACAGCCGCGTCGCAACCGTTGCCGCATCGGAACTGAAAGCTATGCACAATATGTTGCAAATAGTTCTGGCATTAGCACAGTGAAAGAGAGAGAGAGAGAGAGAGAGAGAGAGAGAGAGAGATTCGCGATAAATTCTCGTTCGAGGTCGGAAATGCAAGCCCCGAGTCCTTGTGTAAAATGTTCCCGATGTTTCATGAAAACAACTAGTAGCTCGTGGCTAATGCAGCTTCGGCAGGAATCCGAGAAAACGGAACTTTCCGGTTATCTACTTCGGATTACTGCAGCGTAAGCGGCAAACGCTCGTTCAAAAGTGTTTTCCATTGGCTAGCAATTTATAACCGGCATTAATATTCAGAGTTCGGCTCCGTATATCGTTAAGAAACTTCTCGCGCGCGTACGACGAGAAACACAATAATACAATGGCAAAAAAGAAAAAAAAAAAGAAAAATGCAAACTTCGCGGAATGACGTTCGTCACTTTTTCTAATGCCCATAATATATTCCCGCTTCTTCTTTTTCTTCGTTTCCTCTCTCGTTTTCTTTTTCCTTCCCTGCTTTTTGACACCGAGTCGCGCGAACGCGTGCAAAGTTTTCCAAACAATGTTCGAAAACCGCTGTTGTTACCGCCGCTCCAATGGATCTCGCGATTTTACGTTCATGTGCACGCCGACACACGTTCGCGGTAATTGCACGCCGATTTTCAAAAGAGACGATCTGTCAAAAAAAAAAAAAAAAAAAAAAGAAGAAGAATAAACGGGTCGTAAAGTCGCAAAGAAAGAAAGACAACGCGTAGCCAGTCTCGAACCGACGTTTTCAGCGAAAATCGAAGGAAATTTCTCAGCTAGTTTTTCGATTTCGTTATCGGGCGCCGTATATGCTGCACGGAGGAAGTGCATTTCTTTTTCTTCGCGAGGTTTATCAGCGAATTTGGAGAATTCAGCGCATGAAAGAAGCCGCGTGCTCTGAACGTGCATCGATCGAAGCGTGTTCGATAACGTTTGACTGACGATCGTTGTTTTTCTTTTTTTTTTTTTTTTCTTTAATTGTAACACTCGGGCTTCGAATACGGGGATACGCGTGAAAAACGATCAGCCGTGGGCATTATTTGAATGAAATATTTGACGGATGATTATTTAAATAAAATGTCAACATCTTGTTTGACTCCGCGTTATCTTGGAATAATCCTATTACGCGTTGTTATTATTACTTATTTATTTATTTATCTTTTACTTGAACGAGCAAGTGATTATTTTCGACATTAGTTGATTACGCGGCTATCAACTGAAATAATTTTTTTATTTATTTTCACATAATAATTTCTAAAATATTCGTTCGCATCAGTATCGATGATATGTTGGCACGCATTATTTTGATTATTCTTTGCAAACGAATTAAACAGGTTTTTTTTCAAGACACAATCTCTGTGTGTTCTAATATTGAGCACAATTTTCTCTAATAATAAATAATTCCTTCAACACCAGAACAACCAACGAACTAAAGTTATAAAAATATAAAGTTACAAAGTAAATAAAAATTATACGCGGAAAAATTAGAGTGTAAAGGAAAAAGTTTACAACACAATAAAAAAGAAGCACAAACTGTTATTTGTGTATTTTTAAAAAAAAAATCGTTCAAATTTGATACTATAAGGATTGTAGGAAAAAAATTACAAATCGATCGCTCTGACCACTTTGGTTAATTCTCGTGTTAACGGTATAGCGTTAATCCATAACACGACTGTTAATATATACGTTAATAACAAACATAATATCAACTGCTATCTATGCTCGACAGTAGACCACAGATTGAGGTTGAAGCAATATGTATCGTGACCTTTGCAATCTCTCTGCCTGTCCCAAGCCTACGTACGTATGTGCGTAACTTGCAACGCTCTCTCTTTGCATTAATCTCGAAGTTAAACGCGTTAGTTAATTAGAAGAAAGATGAAACAGGATAAAAGTGTCTCGTGCAAAAAAGTATCAGGGAAAACGAGTCAACGTAGAATTTCCATAACCTGATCATTGATCCTTCGTTCTAATTCCAAAATGGATCCATACGGACATGCAAGAATTGCGCGGTCAAAAATTATCGATTGTCACATTACAGGCTTTTATGTATATTCGTACTTTTGAGAATACACTGAACTCTTGTACAAACGGAGAAGAGATATGGGAAACCACGTTACACGAGACATGCATTATCGGAAGCAATTAATGAAACTCATCGACGAATTCATTTTGAAAGAAATTCGACCTTCTGACAAAAATAGTCTAATAGATACGAGATAGCCGCTCTTAACCATAGCAGTTTCATACGACTCTAAATAATCATTGAAAAAAAAAAAAAAAAAAAAAATACGAACTATAATGTCCAACATTATCTTTATCAGTTTTGTATGGCGTGTTTAAGCCTGGATGATGGAAAAGTGTTTGTTAAATTACTAGCGTGTCAATGCCTAAACAAACAGTTGAAAAATATATCAAAACGTTGAATTTATCTCACCGTGTAACGCGGCATTTTATTTTGATCATTATCATTTAAATTGCACTGATTTATATACGTGGAATATTTTAACGGGTAACGTCAATAAAGGTCAAAGTAAAATTTGCGCACAGATAACGTCAGTAATCGGATTTCATTCGATGTTTAATCATCTTGTACGCAGGTGTGTATGTAGATTCATATTTAAAAATACGTAGAAACATGTATTGAATGATATTAAATGACTTCATCGATATGTTCTTACATGCTTTTATATACGAGCACATTTTTGTATGTGAATCATTCGATGCAAAAGTCATGTAAATTGATCTCATTCCTAATGTTAATTCAACGTCGTATTTCGAAAAACCTGATCTCGATGATGTGTCTCGTTACAGAAGTGATATAAGATATCACGTGCTTTACAATGACTCGCGAAAAACGTAATATTGATGTTATTTTGTAGAATTTGCTGCTTCTAATTACTTTTGTCCACCTTATCCCACCTTTTCCATTAAAACAGCTCGTATGAATCAAACCTTTCACACTCTGTACGAACTATTTGAACTATTTTGCACTATAAAATCTCTATGAGAATATATAATTCCCCCAACACTGTATTTAAATAGCATTCAAATAATCGAGTAATTTGACATTCTATTAGACAGATATGTCTATATAGACGTCGTGAAACTTGAAGTACTCGGCGTTGTTTTGCTCGTTAAACCACGGTCAAATGAACCACGCTCAACCGATTACGTAACAAAAACATCTCACCCTAGCCTAACGACAGAGGGGTTGTTACCAACGAAACGATTAAACATTGTTTTAACACATCCTTTAACATTAACACGGGATCACCTTGACGCATCCTCCGACTTTATGTCATTAATAGAACAACAGAGCCTGACCTTGGAACTGGCAAATCCATGGTGGTGGATCGATGATGGTGATGGAGCGTTTGCTCGGCCATGATCCCCGGATGCAGCGCCTGCTGCTGCTGTTGCTGCTGTTGCTGCTGCTGAGGGTGCAGGTACACTTGCTCTTGCTGTTCCCTCCACATCGTTGCCGCCTTTTTTGCAAACCAGTCTTCCACGATCACTTGATTCTTCTTAATGACACGCGTCAACGACGTGCGAATCGGTTCGCATCACTGCACGAATGCCAACATGTTCTCTGTACGACCGGAACGGAACATCGAATTCGACGAAAATCATCTTACTGGAGGACATCAGTCAGTTCAATTCCGATGAAAGTTCTGGTTCGTTTGAGAATTTCATTGATCATACGGATGAAAGCCGAATTCGGCGAATGTCATCTTCACTCGTCGCAGCACGAGATATTTATTGGAACTAAATCGGTCAGTTTAGTTCCGATTCGATAAATTCCGGTCGTCGGGAAATTTCACACTGTGCACCTGTTTATCTATGATCCTTTTCACTCGATAGACGACGAGTCGTGTACATACGTTCTCTATGGTCGATCGCGACACTCGACACTTCTCAAAACGTCGAGAAACCGTCGCTATACGTCAGATGGACTCGTCACTCGCCATATTGGAGAACACGCGAACGTTCGACACGTTACGGCGATGATGCTCGGCCGTTATCGCGCGACAACTTGCGCGGCTTGTTTGTTGGGCAAATTAAAATTAGCCAGGTCCCCTGTTAATCTTGCCCGCGCTTGTTTCGTCGCGTATAGATAAAAGCGATGGCTCTTCTATCTGCGTCGAACGGCGAGCAAACACTCCGGCGAGATCCACGGAAACGATGCACGCGCGGATGTTAAAACAAGAAAGCAAAAAAAAAAAAAAAAGAAAGAAAGAAACAGGAAAAATTGAAAAAAAAATGAGAAAGAAGAGAGACAGATTACTTTATCGATGGCTATAGCCCCTTCTTCGCGAGTACCAGTCTTGTCTGTTCGTTTTCTCGTCCCGCCAAATTCCTACGTCAGTCTCTCGGCTTCGTGTGCGCGCGAGCTACAGAAAGACGCGACGTCACAGCAGCTCGCATCGACGGAAAAAACGCTGTAGAAACACGGTGTCCTTCGAAGACGCGCGATAAATCATGCAAGAAATTATACATTCGAAACAATTTAATAACGCTGTAATGTAATAGCCGCGAGTCGGCCGGGACTAAGTCGTTTCGTAAAATCTTTTCCCTTCCTCTGAACTTCCTCAAGAGTTCAACGAGAAGTTCGATGAGAATTGGCGCGGTGGATACGAGTCGCTCGAGGAAAAAGTCAGCCGCGGTAGAAATCCGCGCGGATACGTCACATAGCGGCGGAACGACGATCGCGCGAACTTACGGGCGTTCGGCGTGCGACGCGATTTGTTGATCGGATTCTGTTGACCTTGACACCATGTTCTAGATCCAGCCGCAGCAGGAAATCCGCGCGCGAAGACGCAGACTGATCGCGAGAGGGCATCGATCGAACAGCCGAGCAGTTACCATCCGATCCAAGAGCGCGTATATCGCAGATGCATGTACGGATGTGGGCCTTTTTACACTCCCCGCTCCAGGCGTTCCGTTACATCGTGTGAAACGTGATAAAGACCGGGGCAAGGCACAATACGTTAGTTCGAGGAATCTCCGACCTTGACACACTGTCCCAAATGTCTCTGCTAGAACGGTGGAAATATTTTCTTATTTTGTCTCTCGGCGGCGATCCCGAGCTGAGAGACACAGACGGAGAAAGAGAGAGAGAGAGAGAGAGAGAGAGAAAGTTTTGAGCACAGTGTCACTTTGACCACCAATGTACACGGTGTAAACAATCGATTGCAAACAGTCGCCAAATATATCCAATCTTACTCCAAAGTGCGTTCTTTTCACGTGAAACAAAATGACACGGTACGCGCGCGACACTGTCCACTTTGCGATAATATTGTTCACGAATGCGCGGATCCGTGCGAAAGGCGCGTCGATGTGTCAGCACGCTTGCACTAGTGTGCTAGTGCGTATGTTCGTTTCGAACAAATGCGTCAATGAGAGTGGAGGTTTGCCGAAAAAAAAAAAACAGGCAAACGGAACACCGAGACGCAACACATACGCTAGTCAGATGCGAACTGCCGGCGGAGTGCTACCCCCACTCTGCGCAACAATCAGCGTCCCCCCCCCCCCCCCCCCCCCCCCCGCCCCCCCCCCCCCCCCCCCTCCCCGTGCTGACGACCAATCGCCATTCCCCTCGTCTTCTTCCAATGCTATCCGCGCTCGGAGCGCGCAGCATGATAACAACACATTTTTAGGCGGGTCCCTTGTATAAGGCTGTTTCTACCAGCGCCGATAAGAAACGAGTTTTCATGCGTATGCTCTTGTCGGATTTACGCGCGGGAATTCGAGTGCTAACCGAACGCTATTATCGTACATTCTCTATTTGCTGATATCCTATTCGTGGAGGACAATGAGGCTAGACTCGGGATGCATCACTGAAATGAATATCTACGTACTGGACTCGTGCGCGGTCGCAAGTCTCTGTTGCTTGTGAACAGAGACTATGGATCCTGGCGCAATTTTCGTGGTTTTCCGAAATGCGATTTTAAAAACGGAACGTACGCAGAAATTTGATACGAAATTAGATGTTAAATGTTGCATGGAATATATCGTATTTTCCATATTACGCATCGTTAACTTTCTAACAGTCACAAGGGGAGTGATCGCGGATTTTGGAATAACGACGTCGTGTAAAAAAAAGAAAAAAAAAATAGATTGCCTTTCGTTACAAAAACTGAGATGAAAATTGAATTTCTTTCATTAGAAATAATCAAACGGGCAGTGTTGCTGCTTATTCGACGTAAATTAATTGAAATTTCCAACGAAATTAATATTGTTTTATTTTCGTGGAAATTATCGTGTTTGCATAGTCTAATTATTTCTTCGCTTGTATTTGAACTTAAATCGTGTTTTTAATGACTGAACTTCAAGCTATAATCCAACTAGTAATATCTGTCATCCTGTTACAATTAATTCAAAATCACTGCGTTTGACGAGCATACTTATCGCTGCACGATTTCAATTATTCAAGCAAATACAGACTTTCAAAATGAAATTCCACCGTTAAAAGATTAAATTTCCTACAAATGCACAAAAATTTGCGGTCCGCTCATCAACACAAGTAACGCGTATAGTTTTAGCTATAGCACATTGTGCAACGTATATTGAACATGTTTGCTCGAGTCGGAATCCTTTTTTTTTCTTCTTTTCTTTTTTTGTAAGAAATAAATATACGATAACGTGTTTGTTAGTTTGAACTACCATCGTCAGTGTGACTTAGAATAGAAAAACGAGGCTCTTACCCGTATGAGATCGTCGTTTCTGGCGCAGAAGTGGAAGACAACGCGCTGGCATCATCCTCGTCCACGTCATCCTTCATTTTTCAGTTCTTTTGCTGAAACATAACAAACCGAATGACGTTTACATCCGTGGCATCGAATCAGGCTATTTTTCAATTTACATATTAATTCCCTTGATTGTATACGTATCTGCTCTATTTTTTTGTGCTTTTTTTTTACGCTCTTTAAAGAAAAAAAAGTGTTATTTACCAAGAAGCAAGCCACGCAAACACTCTTTTAACCGTTTCGAGCGCTCACTAAAATTACTATACAATCATATAATATTGCATATTTATGAAATATATGAAAATTAATATAATATATATACTAATGTAATAAATAATATAATAGTATATGTATATTATGGTGTAATATACATATTATACATTATATTAAGTAATATGTCCATAACACCATAATAATAATATTATATTTAATATCACATGTAACAAATTAACAGTACATTCATCTATACATATATATATAGTAAACTATTTATTTTAAGTCTCAGATTATCTGTAAGACTAAACACACAAAGAGTGTAATTTTTTTGTAACCAATTTTAAATACCAATCCATTTATATTCATACCCAGATAAATTGAAGAACATCGTCCTTATATTACGCTGAAAATGTTCTATAAATTTCAACCTCATGATGCACATGATAAATGCAACTCGACAGGTTATTACAAATGCGTAACGACAAATATAAAAATGTAACAAAAAAATAACATTACATTGTGCATAATTAACCTTCGAACTATTGAAATATACCATATCTGTACCAAACATGTTTACGTTTCTACCACTGAAACGTATTACTATTTTTCTTTAGCAAAAAAAAAAAAAAAAAAACTTATCACTGACGTTTATTAGCTAAATGCAAAGAATGACGATAAAAAAAAAAAAGACTAATGAGAATGACGACGCATGCGACACGAAAGACTACGATGACAGTCGATTGTTCGATAACGTAAATAAATGATGTACAACACCCGATGGTAATACACGGCGGAGATAGCACGTGTCAGAATCTCGCTGCAATCAATTCGTCGTGATAATCGACCGAAAAATCCTATTTGCGGCCTGTTCGCAACGTTGTCGTTCGAATCTGTGACATGAAAAATATGGAAAACACAGGGAAATTTGATTATTCGAGAATGACGAATGGAACACGCGAAAGAAAGAATTCCGATTTTTTTTTTTTTCTTTCTTTTTCAGAATGATTCGCTGGAAAATAGGATCCGTGATATTACTCGGAGAAAATCGATTACGTGTTTTCCTTTCTCCATCGACAGGCGTTGAATTTATTCGCTCAGACGTTTGACGTCCGAAGATTTTCCCGAAAGGAGATGCCACACGCTGATCGGAGTTGAAAATTGCCGAATTCTAAATTGAAAACCGTTGATTTTGAAACCATAGTCTCGTATCGAAAAGATATACATACTTCCTTTCGTTGTTTTAAACAAGTTTCTTCTGAATGAAAGATCTGTGAATCAATTTTCTGAAAATTATTTTACACTTTTTTTGATTTGACTATTGATGTATGAAAAAAAAAAAAAAAAAAAAAAAACTCTACATCAACTCTAGCTAATAACAACAATACCAAATTTTATATTCGGCGAAAAACAAATGTAACAACGAAAATGTGTGTAATCGATTTCTTCAATTTCCATCACTCGAGCCCATAAAAATGGCAATAAAAAAGTCACGGCGTCAATAATGGAACGTATAACAACAATGCGACGAAAGTGACTCAAAAAACATAATTCTTTCAATCGCTATAAAAATGTTGCAGGAACAGTTCTTGACTAATGGAGGATCTTATTCATTGATCTTTATAATTTAGCCGGCAGAGCCAAACTATAAGAAATTACGTTGCTCCCCTGATTCATATTCCATGAATTATTTCTGATTACGAATTTTGCCTCGACTTGTCAATGCGAACGAATGCACATTGATAAAATAAAAGAGGCGTATTGCTTTCTACATTCCTTCCGTCGTAACTTTAATCAACAGAATAATGCGCTGCTTTGACTCTCGTTGCAACTTCAATCAAAACAGAATAATGCATATCTAATTCCGCTGGGAACCAATTTCCCGCTTCTCTTGGAAAACACGCTTTCTCACAGGTTTCTGTCGCCATTTTCCTCTTTACGTGAAGATTTCCTTCTTATTTTAGCCGAGCCCGCCGATGAGAACTCGCGCACACGTATTCTGAAAACACGCCGTCTAGATTAACGTGATCCGAAAGGCATAATCAAAGACGTATTGCGCTACCGCCCACGCGACATACTTCTCTCCATCGAGGGGAAAAAAAAAAAAAAAAACAGACAGAGCCTTCGCCCGGAGAGATCGTACTAAAAAAACCAACGCGTCGCGTGTTGTGCGTGTAATATAATTTTGCCAGAGAAACGATGACGTTAAATGGAAACTGACGGTGTCACATCGGTCACAAATAAACATCGCCACGGCGTGGGCCGATCGCACACTCTCGCGGATAATAACGCTGATTCGAAACAATCGGCATTTGATCTTGCTTAGGATCACGAAAACAGTGTTTCCGTTCGTGGCACAGTCGATTTTGTAAATTGCTAGCTATCCCTCTGTCGTATTTTCCACTTGCAGATTAGGCCTGTTGCACGATATTCCCCGGAAATAAATACCGTGTCGCATAGTTGGATAGTAATCAGTCACTTTCTAACCGTTTTGTGTAATTAATCGCTATCGTAATCATATTAATCGTAACCATTGCAAACGTAATCATTAATCAATCAATCGTCGTTGAGGTAAATCAGTTATCTCGATTAATTTTTGTAATTTTTATAGTTACTAAGCAATGAAACAAATCGATTATCTCGATTAACTTTCGTAATTTTTATAGTTATTAATCATTTAAAATAAATCGGTTATCTTGATTAACTTTTGTAATCTTTACGATCGTTAATCAATGGATTATTGTTAAAATGAATCGGTTATCTTGACTAAATTTTTCGTACGATTTCAATTTATCGGTACGGTAATTTTTCGGGAAACGAAATTTGTAATTTTGTAATTAATTGGTACGGTGATAATTACCGGAGAACAAATATCGAACTGCGTCAGAGGTTAGGCAATAATCAATTACTTTGTAATCATGATCGTGGCAATCGTAATGATTGGTCATTGTTAAAATAAGTTAGTAATCTTGATTAACTTTAATCGATAATTTTGAAATTATACTAATTGTAAGTGATTCGTTTAAGTTTTATTGACGTATAATTTCTTCACATTATTAACCACAACACGTTCAAGCGTATTAATCGCACAAGATTATGCCACATGTCGATGTAACCGAGTGTTATTACTTGAAATTACTTGCAACTTGAGTAGTGGAGCAAAACTATAGAGAATATCTACGCGTATTCTTTAACGTATAATAATATCTGTATCGTTGAATTTCTAACAATTCGTTAAAGTTTACAATTGTTTGATATGTTTCTGGTAGAAAAAAAAGCGTATAACGGAGAATCGCAAAGTTTTCATCATTCGGCAAGTTTATCATCTTCAAAAGTGGCAATAACCATACAGATGAGACTTTCAATTGCTAAAGAAGAGAATTTTTTCAACATTTCGAAACAAATTTTGATAATAATAAATATAACAAATATGTACATATATAATAGTTTCTACAAAATGTAAGTATAGCAAACTCATAATCAAAAATGTAATCATTTTACGATCAATGATTATTAAATTAATCACAATAACCTTTGATTACAATGATTTCCACTATGTTCCTTATTCGTTAATCAGTGATCACTGATTACTCGATAATACGAATATAATGTACATAAGATATCAAAAGTAAAGTATCATACTCAACAGATTTCTATTTAAATTCTATTTCTTTAATTATGAAATTTTCAGATATAAAACTTAAATATAATTTTAAATAAAAGAAATTCTTAAGTATAAAAATTCGCAGACCAATAGTCAGTAATCACGATTAACTGTTAATCCTGATAACCATAATCATCAACCATTAATCAGATTACGATTTTTTCCTCAACTGTGGACCGCATAAATGAAAAGGGGGAGGGTAAAAGTATGTACGCGACAGACATTTTCTTTTCTTCGATAACTTCGTAACGACAGTATTTTTTCGTGCAATCGGGCAAAGTGAACCGTTTCTTTTTTTTTTTTTTTTTTTTTATCGTTCTTATCGATAAGGTCGTTCTCTGCGGAATATTGACTTTCGTTATAACATCCGGACAACAGTCGGAATCGGTACGTTTCGTCGCGGCCACGGTGGTACAGTGGTTTTCTTTATACCAAACGTATCTCCATGAAGTTACGTTTATGACATGACGTATGCAATCACGAATTGATCAGATCATTCCCAGCGTGTAAATTGCAACCAAATTTTAATTTCGTTAAGTGCTCGCTCATTTATCGTTTCATCGTATCTGCACGAAAGGCTGAGAAAGCTTAAGCAGCGAAAGTTAGAAACTATAAGTCTGTGTAGATCGTTAGACGACAAATTCGTCGTGTTTTCCCGAACTGTGATAAACGTATCGCGGTAAGGAATAAAATTATAAAAGAACGATACTTTCTTGAAGTGTTGAAATCAACATGGCCTGTACAAAAGTTAGTTTAAATTAAACATTAGTAAAATCTATAGTTAGTTCAAATTAAATAATTAGTTAAAATCGAGAGACACTTAGGAAATATGATCTCGAAAAGAAATTCAGAGGATTTTAGAAAATTATTTAACTGATGGGTGTCCGTAAAAATTCGCCCGGACATTCAGTTGCAAATTCAAAATACAAAAGAGACAAATTCGTCGCGGTAAATTTGCATTCGAAAGTATAAGCACACTTAGGTACCGACAATCGTGACAACTCTAAGAAAATA